CCCTAATTGTAATACGGATTTTCAAGGATGTGTTTATTCTGTAAAATAAAGTGCTGTTATGCTGTAAGTTTTAGGAGGCAGGAGTTTTTTATCTTTTGCTTATTAATATGTCACTGATGGTTAAACAGTATGTAACACAGAGTAGGTGTTCAGTAATAATGAAAAAATAAAATGTCATTTCTGTGTTGTTTTAATTTGGATTTATTAGTAAGGGCAACATATTTGACTATTAGTTCTGATGATTAAAAGCTAGTGAGCATTAAGGAAAGAAAAGGTTCTGCGTGGACTTTGAAGGTCGTCTCTATCAATTTGAAGTTGAATGGGAAGAATAGTTTTGTTGAGGTCCTTTAGCTGTGTTATGTGTTATGAGTACTTTTTTTTTTACTCAGGCAAAAGAAAATGTGTGTGTGTTAAATCCAGTCAGCCCTCTTTATCTGTGGGTCCTGCATTCTCACTTTCTGCCAACCTCAGATCAAAAATCTTCCAGAACAAAAGGATGGTTGCATCTGTACTGAACATGTACAAGCTTTTTTTCTCGTCATTATTCTTTATGCAATAAAGTATAACAACCATTTATGTAGCATTTCCATTGTATTAGGTATTGTGAGTAATCTAGAGGTCATTTGAAGGATATTGGAGGGTGCGTCCAGGCTGAAGGCAAGTACTATGGCATTTTATGTCAGGGACACCTACAGATTTTTGTGTCCAGCCATGGATCCTGTACAGTTGAACATTTCCACACGCTGAGGGTGTGATGGGTCTGGGTTGGGTTGGTCCACCATGTTCGAGGAAGTGTGCCCATCATGATTTTACACCCTTGTTGTAAACTTTGGATATGTCTATTTTGATATTTAAAACATTTTCAGATTAAGTCTGAAAATGCCAGTATATTAATATTTTAAAATGGAATTGAGAAGTCATTATTATAATAATAGAATTCATTATTAGAACTTTCTAATAGTAGAAAGGAAGTCTATTTATTTTATAAAATTGTCAGTTCATCTTAAGATCTAATAGTCTTTTGCAATTAACAGCAACTTAATTCAGACTACCTCAAAAGAAGAATTTAACATTGATTTTTGTAGGAAAAAAGCAATTTTAAAGTAGCCTGGGAAAACTTAGGTAAGTTTTCCTTAATTCTGACTCTTAATTTGTGGCTAGAAGTGGCAATGATATGAACATAAGTTGTGCTATTTATTAATTTACTGCTTTTCATAAATCAGCCCCTTTTATGTAATTAGGTAAAAAGAGAAAAATACATTCTTGATTTTGGTGACTAGAGTTGTGGACGCCGGAAAGCTCTGCCACTAAGATTGATGAACCAGATGCGTGTCACTGGCCAGTCACACTGATTCTTAATGCTGTAAGTATGAACATACAGTTAAAAAAAAAAAATCTGTTGATAGAATACATCATCTTATGAAATGAAAAGATTTGGTTAAGGAGTTTTTGAACAAATTTCACATTACACTACTGGCTTTACTAAATCTGAGTCTTGTATTTCTGAACAGGGCACCATGGCCTGGCACTGTCACGTTTTCCAGGGAACCTGCCCGAGCTCCTGCAGAAGCTGCTCCTCGGGCCAGTGGAGTCCCTTAGCTGGTAGGCCCTTCTTTAGTCACCACAGGATGCCTGCTGACTGAACAGGAAGGAGAGGATGGGCTTTGAATAAAACACAGGTAAGTTTCCCAACTGCTTTTCTTTGATTAAGATTTCAATCTTGGCTGGGCATGGTGGCTCACGCCTGTAATCTCAGTATTTTGGGAGGCCAAAGTGGGCAGATCACAAGGTCAGGAGATTGAGACCATCCCTGGCCAACATGGAGAAACCCTGTCTCTACTGAAAAAATACAAAATTAGCCAGGCGTGGTGGCACATGCCCATAACCCAGCTACTCGGGAGGCTGAGGTAGAAGAATCACTTGAACCCAAGAGGTGGAGGTTGCGGTGAGTGGAGATCATGCCATTGCAATCCAGCCTGAGCAACAAGAGCAAAACTCCTTCTCAAAAAAAAAAAAAAACAAAAACAACTCCTCCGAGTTGCACATGGCTTGTCCGCGTGTCCCCTGCTTGGCTACAGACTGTGTGCTCAGTCTGCTCTTAGGACCTTTACGCAAGTGTCTGGCCTGCATCAGTGTGAATGCTTGTTCTTGGAATGCTTGCCCACAGCTCCCCTGGGTTGACTTCTTTTGGGAAGCTCTCGAGTAGCTGGGATTACAGGCATGCACCACCACGCCCGGCTAATTTTCTGTATTTTTAGTAGAGACGGAGTTTCTCCATGATTTTCATTTTTTAAATGCTTTTTTGAGATTTGTTTTGTGGCCTAAAATGTGGTCTATCCTGGAGAATGTTTTGTGAGCTGATGAGAAGAACGCAGGTTCTGAAGTTGGTGGGTGAAATGTTCTGTAATTACCTGTCAGGTCCCTCTGACTTCTATTTTGGTGTGTAAGTCTGGTTTTCGTTGCTTTTCTGCCTAGAGGGTGTGTCTGTTGCTAAAAGTGGGTGTTGGAGTCCCCAGCTATTGTTGCCTGTCTCTGTTTTTCGATGACTCTTACTTTAATAACTGGGGCTGCTGCGTCAGCTGTGTTTACATTGACAACTGTTCCACCCTCTTGCTGAATTGATCCCTTTATCATTTTATAATGACCTTTATTTTCTATTTTTGTGCTTTGTAGACTTAAAGTCCATTTTGTGTGACAAGCATAGCAGTGGTGATTCCTTTCCTTTCTGATCTTCACCGAACCTCGCTTTTTCACACTCACCGAAATGTCTACTTAAAGCCACGGCACCTCTTTGAATTTTCACATCTACCGTATGGTGATGGTAGATTTCCTTTTCATCTGTACTCTGAAGGAATCCGAAACAGGCATTTTTACAAGTCTAGGAAGGAAACAAAAATCTATGTGTCAAAAGAATGAACATAGAAAATAACATGTCCTGGTTAACAAAAGTTCTCATTGTAAAGTGTTATGCACAAGATATGGAATTTTATGTGCCATAAATGAAGTTGTCTTGTCTAAAACTACTTTTAAAAATTACATGTTACTTTAATAAAGGTATTTTTGAGAATTTGGTGACTTCTTATTTCCTAGACCTCTTTAATTTCATATTAAATTCCAGCATGAATTTTAATGCTGGATTTTAATGGATTTTAATGGATTGTGTGGTTGTCTAAATGTTAAGAGTCTGAAGACCTCAAGTGGGCAGGAGCTGGGCAGGGGCAGGATCACGATGCAGGCAGGACCAGGGTGCAGTGTGGATGGGCTCCAGTAGGAACGGGGTGCTGGTGGGGCAGGGGTGGGGGTAGGTGTGGGGGGCGTCAGAGCACGGTGCTCCTAGGAGTGGGGTGGGGCACAGTAGGAGCAGGGTGTGGATAATACTGAGGTGCTGGCACGGCAGGGCGTGGGTAGGAGCAGAGGGCGTGTAAGATTGGGCTTCTGGCGAGGCGCGCGTGGGTAGGATGGGGTGCTGCAGGACGGGTAGCAGTTGGGTGTTGGCGGGGCGGGGCGTGGTTAGGACCGGGACGCGGGTGGGTGGAGAGTGACGGCAGAGCAGGGCGTCGGTAGGAGCGGGGTGCTGGTAGGAGTGGGGTGCCGGTAGGAGTAGGGTACAGGACGCGCTTAGGAGCAGGGTGCTGGTGGCGCAGGGCACGGGTAGAAGCGGGGTGGGGACGGAGCAGGATGCTGATGGGGCGGGGCGGGGTGCTGGTGGGGAGAAGCGCGGGTAGGAGGGGGTGCTGCAGGATGGGTAGCAGTTGGCTGTTGGCGGGGTGGGGTACGGGTAGGATGTGGTGCTGCCGGGCAGGGCAGCAGGTAGGAGAAAAGTCCAGGTAGGTGCCAGGTGCTGCAGGGTCGGACTCAGGTAGAAGCGGGGTACAGTAGGAGAAGGGTGGCAGCTGGGCCAGGCCCAGGAAGGGGCAAAGTGTGGGTAGGAGCAGGGTGCTGGCGGGGCAGGGCACAGTTAGGACCATGGCACAGGTGGGTAGAGGGTGATGACAGGGCATTGGTAGGAGCCGGGTGCAGTAGGAGCAGGGTGCTGGTGGCACAGGGCACAGGTAGAAGTGGGAGCGAGTGGAGCAGGGTGCTGATGGAGCAGGGTGCTGGCAGGGAGAAGCATGGATAGGTGCAAGGTGAAGGTAGGATCGGGGTGCTGGAGAGCGGGACAGGGTGTGGGAGGGGCAGAGTGATTGTGGGGTGGGGCCACAGGTATGATGTGCTGAGAGCCCGATGTGGGTGGAGCAGCGTGTGGGTAGGAGCAGGGTGCTGGTGGGGCGGGACACCCAGGTTAGGACCCAGGTGCGGGTAGGTGGAGGGCAAGTGGAGGGCGATGGCAGGGCAGGGCGTTGGTAGGAGCAGGGTGCCAGTAGTGTGTCCAGAATTGGTGGGTTCTTGGTCTCACTGACTTCCAGAATGAAGCTGCAGACCCTCGTGGTGAGTGTTACAATTCTTAAAGATGGTGTATCAGGAGTTTGTCCTTCAGATGTTCAGATGTATCTGGAGTTTCTTCCTTCTGGTGGGTTCCTGCTGTGGACCCTGGAGGTGAGGGTTACAGCTCTTAAAGGCTGCACATCTGGACTTGTTCCTTCCTTCCAGTGGGTTAGGGGTCTTGCTGGCCTCAGGAGTGAAGCTGCAGACCTTCGAGGTGTTACAGCTCATAAAGGTGGCACAGGCCCAGAGAGTAAGCAGCAACAAGATCTATTGCAAACAGCAAAAGAACAAAGCAACCACGGGGTGGAAAACGCACCCCAAGAAGTTGCTGCTGTTGGGGCGGGCAGCCTGCTTTTATTCTTATCTGACCCCACCCACATGCTGCTGATTGGTCCATCTTGACAGAGCTGATTGGTCCGTTTTACAGAGAGCTGATTGGTCCGTCTTGACAGAGCTGATTGGTCCATCTTGACAGAGAGCTGATTGGTGCGTTCACAAACCTTTGGCTAGACAGAAAAGTTCTCCGGGTCCCCACCTGACCCAGAAGCCCAGCCGGCTCCACCTCTTAATAGCAGTCGCCACCCAGGCCGGGGACTCCGGCGGCCCAGAGAGAGCTCCTCCCTCCATCAAGCCCAGCAGGCCACAGCGAGGGCCCGGCCCACAGAGCCCGCGCCCACCGGAACCCGCGCCGGCCCGTGAGCCCCACGCGCAGCCTGGCCTCCCGCCCGCGCCTCTCCCTCCACACCTCCCCGCCAGCAGAGGGAGCCGGCGCTGGCCCTGGCCAGCCCCAGAGAGGGGCCCTCGCAGCGCAGCTGCGGGTTGAAGGGCTCCTGGAGCGCGGCTAGAGCAGACGCCGAGGCGGAGGAGGTGCCGAGAGTGAGCGAGGGCTGCTAGCACGTTGTCACCTCTCGGTAGGAACAGGGTGCAGGAGGCGGGTTGGTTCGGAACCTGATGCTGGAAAGGCCACCAGTGGTCTGGGTCCCAGCACCTCTGCAGGCGCAGCCGCTTGTTTCACCTGGTGCGCCATCTTGCAGTTCTTGAATTTGCGCCTTTTGGCTGCACAGAGAGGGCAAGGAAGCCGCGCACGAATGCAAGGTCGGAATGACTGGGGTGCGACCAAGGGGACTTGGAGAACCGCCCTTCCTCCCCAGGTTCCCCAGGCAGAGCCCACCACCCCCGCGTTTTTTCAGAGGCCCAACTGGGCCTCTGCGGAAGGGGTGGGGGCAGGGTAGAGACAGGAGGAGGGAAAGAACTGGGCAGGGAAGGGGGCCGAGAGAGCCTCTCTCAACATCCGGGTTAGTTGATAGACTGGGGGTCCTGCAGGGCTAGCCACGAAGAAATGTAACCATGTGTGGAAAAACAAGAATTGGGGAGGGGTGAGGAAGAGAAGTTGGTTACCAGGCAGCAGGTGGTGCCTTAGGCAATCATAGGGGCTGAAGGGCTGGCTTCTCATTGTCAGACCCTGGGCTGGTAAGTTTCAGGGAACTCAGATGAAACAAATGTAACTTCCTTTAAGACTAGCGGGATCAATTTCTCCGTTTATTCAAGGAAGCTGTATACATGGGGTCTAGGGGAGAACTGGACACTTTCCAGCCTCATGCGGGGAGCTGTAAGGGTGGGTGTCCTTCTCCCCCTCTACACAGGGGCACTCTTAGGACTGGCAGCAGAGGAGAGCGAGCAGCAGAGAGCAACGGGAGCCCCAAAGAATCTAATTTCCTCCAAAGAAATGATGGCCACGAACATACTCACCTCAGCAGGAGAAGCCAGGGGGCCCACGCTGGGGAGTTGTGGGCTGAGGTTGGATGTGGGTTCTGGGCGTCTGTGGGGAAAGTCCTCTGTTCTCTCCCCATCCCTTAGCTGCCTCTTGAGGTCTGGCCTGCGTCTATTCACAGAGGGATGGAGGAAGGGAAGATCATGGGGCCTTGGGGTGGGAGGGGGCAGGAACTGGAGCCTGGGGCGCCCCTGGGCCAGCTGCCCCTGTCCCTGCTGTGTCTTGGTGGGGCTCAGGGCTGAATCTGTGATCTGCACATCACTCTGGAGATTTGAAGTCAAAGTGAAGTCGCCCTCGCAGGCAGGAGAGGGAGCTGCGAAGACGAGGCTAGCTCAGACTCAGTCAACCACTATGTCCAGAGTCGGCCAGCTGAGGGGAAGGTGGTTGGGGGGAGTAGGGGAGCAGGGGCACTCAGCCCAAGAGAGCTACCCTGAACCACAGGACCAGGTGCTGCCTGCCACCCACCCTTGCCGGGGTTGACAAAGCTGGAGTTGGCCACGGGGAGCTCCCCAGGGTGCAGACAGGTCCCATCTCTGGGACTAGCAGCTACCCAGGCTGCACACTCAGGCCTATGCCCAGGGAAGGGACCTGATAAGAAGAAAGAGGCTGGTGGCGAGGGGTGCGTGGAACTTTGGGGGACAAACAAGCTCCTGTTGTGGTAACCGAGCGAGTTATAGAGAAACGCCACACTCTGAGACTAATTCAGGAGTCCTTTATTGCTGGTGACTGAGGGACTGCTAGAGCTCAAAATTTAGCCCTGAAGAAGGGGCTAGATTTCTTTTTATATCTTGGTCTAAATAGGAGAGAGGGAGTCTAAAGCAATTTTTACAGAAGCAGAACAGGCAAAAAGTTAAAAGATAGATGGTTACAGAAACAGTTACAGGAAAATAGTTCCAGGTTCAGGGGCTTAAACTGTCACAAAGAGACAAATGCAGGGGCTTTGGGTACCACCAAGCGAGCGCGTGTCCAGGGGCCGCTGGCACAGCTTGCCTCAGTATCTTATCAGCGCACTCCTGGGTGTGCGTGGAGTCAGCATGCACCAGTTATGTCCTTAAGGGAGGGGGGACAAGGGGCTGCAAGCGGAGAAACCAAAATGGAGTCTGTCCGGCTCTCTCAGCTGAGAGAGTCAATCAGGTAAAAACAAGGGAGGGCATCACATTCCCACTCGTGTTTTTGGGGAATCAAATCATTGATTCCTCGGTTATAACAAAGGGGTTATATTGGGTTCCAAGATACACAAGTTTGACAGAAGCTATGCGCTACTTTATAAAGTTAAGCAACCAATTTAATAGACAAGGCCTGAAGACGAACCTTAAGAGGAGGAGAAGGGCTCCCGCCAGCCCGGTAATTAGTTAGCCAGGGATTCCAGTTAAACATGCTTTGGTACCAGGGGGTGTTACTCTCCTGTTCCTGCTGGCATTTGCCTAGATTTTCTCGAACTTTTTGAAGAGTATTTTTTATGACTTCAGACTGATTGGCATAGAAACAACTTTCTCCCAAAGCTGCACGTAACCCTCCTTGGGAGAGAAATAGCAGATCTCAGCCTCGGCGGTTTTGAAGAACTACATCCGCTAGAGGCTCTACCTGGGCATGCAGTATATTTATGGCTGATTGGAGATGGCTTAAATCATCATCTACTTGTTGAGATAGGGACATTAGCCCAGTTTCTCCTTGAATCAGGGCAGTCGTGCGGATGGCTGCTGACCCAGCTATGCTAAGGCCGGCCACAAGGGGTACAAGGAGTGGGGCAACTCGGCAAAACCTGGGATGCAATTCAGGAGGAGCGATGAGGAGTTGTTCTTCTGACCTGCTGTACAGGTAGACCTGGGGGAGTACATGAACCAACACACAGGAGAGGTCAGGGTTCAGTCCCACTGATGCAGTGAGTGAGACCTGAAGTGCCGGCTAACCAGGTATTGTTGGGTGCCTGATAGAAGACTGAGGCGTTTAAGGAGGTAAGCAGGGACTGATTCCAGGTAGCCTGAGAGGGAGAAGCAGATAAATTATACCCTGCTAGTTAGACAGGAGGCATTCCTGACACGTCTCCTAGTGTAAGGGCATGGGGGCACGTATGACAAAGAATTTTTAGCATGGCTTCTACTCCTAATCCAACATAATATGGGGGTTTGGCCTTTAGGCACAACCAGCAATCTCGGGCTAGTTTAGGCTGGGTGAGATTCAGGAGGTGAGGAGCACTGACCAGAATGGACTTCAGGCTGGTGAGATTCAGGAGGTGAGTGAGGAGCACTGTCCAGAATGGACTTCAGGCTGGTGAGATTCAGGAGGTGAGGAACACTGTCCAGAGTGGACTTCAGGCTGGGTGAGATTCAGGAGGTAAGTGAGGAACGCTGTCCAGAATGGACTTCAGGCTGGGTGAGACTCAGGAGGTGAGGAACACTGTCCAGAGTGGACTTCAGGCTGGGTTGGAGGTGTTGTCATTGCAGCTGAGGTCTAGGAAGCAGGAACGATGGTGGGACAGTTAAATTGTGTCTGGGTGTTTTTGGAACGCAGGGTCACCAAATCAGTTAAAGGTACGATTGGCTTAGGAGGGCTCCGTGGGACCAGGACCTTTTTCTGGATGGTGAACTTAGTTCCAACATCAAATCCCAGAATATAAAGCCTTAATCCCTGTGACATGCCATAATACCATTGAGCTAAACTAGAGTTACGGACAGTTACAGTAAGAGGATTGCAATTTCCTATAGTACACGGTCTAGGACGGGAAGTGCGAGCTATGGAAAGGACTGAGGGTGGGGTTGATCCTCCAGAGTAAGTGGGCAAAGTGACACACGTCCAGTGAGGGCAGAAAAACTGGTAAGAATCTCAGCAGCTAGAGTCAGGGTGATTTCCAGGACGAAGGTGAAAGCCAACGCTCTGGAGCCCTTTTCTGCACCCTTAGAGCTTCCACATCCAGTCCGGCTTCTGGTGTGTCCAAACTCTGCAGCAATGTCGACGTTTCCTGCTCCCATGATCGGCAGATCGCGCTGTTCTTCGTGGGTACAGCAGGTTCTGGGAACAAAGCACATAAATCGACTACAAAAGAGACTTCCTTGGAGGTTCCCACTTTCCAGGTGGTGTTTGCAAAGACACGTACTGTTGTGAAGGAAGTGAGGAGAAAGAGTAGGAAGGGGCAGAGGACGTAACAGGTGGAAACAGACAGAAGAGGTAAATGGAAAGAATCTGATGGCTTCACTCAACTTAGGTGCAGTTTTAAGGGGCCCAGGCTTGGGGACCCTTGTTTCTTACTGGGCTTTGTTGGCCTTTTTGATGCGAGAGTGATGAATCCAAGCAGGAATGTCGTCCACCTTCAGAGCCATTGGTGTAGTGAGGATGATAGTATGAGGTCCTTTCCAGGCAGGAGTGAGTCCTTCCTTCTGGAATTTTTTAACATATACCAGGTCACCCGTCTGGTCAGGAACTGGATTGGGATGAGCTCCCCGGACAAGCGGCTGGATGATGTCTTGTACTTGTTGGAGAGACTGCAGGTACTGTAACAAATTAGCTTGTGAGATTTCTGCTAAATGGGTATCCCTTAGCTTAGGCAAGATAGGCGGAGCCCTTCCATACATGATTTCAAAAGGTGAAAACCCAGCCCAGTAAGGGGTGTATCTTACTCTAAGGAGGGCTAAAGGAAGGAGCTTTACCTAATTCTCACCGGTCGCTAGGATTAATTTAGTAAGGGTACTTTTTAGGGTGCGGTTCATGCGTTCTGCCTCTCCAGAGCTCTGGGGTCCATAGGCACAATGGAGTTTCCATTGAATGTTCAATGCCTTGTTAACCAACTGAGCTATGGACGAGGTGAAGGCAGGTCCATTATCAGACCTTATGGCAACAGGCAGTCCATGTCGAGGGATGGTTTCATTGAGCAACAGCTTAACTACCGTGGTGGCAGTTTCGTTTTTGGTGGCAAATGCCTCAGTCTATCCGGAAAAGGTGTCTACTAGCACCCGGAGGTATTTATATCCTGCCCGGTGCAGTTTTATCTACATAAATTAAATTTCCTCCCTTTCTCCTGGCGAGCCTCCCCGGAGGCGGTGACCTGGGCTGGGCTTACCTCGCTTGGCGTTTACCTGAGCACAAGCCGTACACTGGAGAGCTGCTTGGTTAGCTAAGTCCTGAAGGTGGGGGATCTTGAAATGGCTCCTTAGAAGCTGGGCCAATTTTACTCCTCCTTCCTGATTTTTACTGGCCTGAATATCTGAAGCTTGATTTTCTTCCTCAGGGGCGTATTCTGGGTGGTCTGGCGAGTCCGGTTGCGGAAAGGACACAGTGGGCAGCAGGGTTAAAGGCACGACCGGGAGCTGAGCCGCAGCGTCTGCTCTTTGGTTACCACAGCCTCTTTGATGTCCTTTGCAGTGAATCACAGCCACCTGTTGAGGGAGCCAGACAACTTCAAGCAGGGCCAAAATCGCTTCTTTGTTTTTGACAGTCTTTCCTGCTGAGGTGCGGAGCCCTCACTCTTGATAGATGGCTCCAAGTGCATGTACAGCAGCGAAAGCATACCTGGTGTCAGCGTAGATGTTAATACGTTTGTCCTCACCCCATCGGAGGGCCTGAGTGAGGGCAACCAATTCAACTCTCTGTGCCGAGGTCCCTGCCGGCAGTGCCTGGACCCACAGTCTGTCTGTCTCCATAGTAACGGCTGCACCAGCCTTTTGTACTCCTTGTTCAAGGAAGCTGCTACCGTCTGTAAACACGGTGGCATCTGCCTGTTAGAGGAACATCTCGGAGATCAGGTCAGCCAGTTTCCACAGTTTCTAACAGTTCTTGGCAGTCATGGACAGGTGTGGTAAGGTCTGGATTGGGGAGCAAGGTAGCTGGATTTAAACACCTTGTGGGAGAGAAAGTTAAACGAGGCTGATCTAACAGTACACTCTGATACTGTAGGATGCGCACATTTGACATCCATTTGCCAGAAGCACTTCGTAGCAAAGTCTCTACTGCCTGAGGAGCCATAAGAGTTTCATTCTAGCCCAGAGTGAGTTTATCAGCCTCCTGGACCAGGCTTGCTGTTGCCACTAGGGCTCGCAGATGACTTGGCCACCCGGAGGCCACAGGGTCCAGTCTCTTAGACAAATAGGCTGGCATTGCCTTGGCCCTAAAGTCTGAGTGAGTACCCCTTTAGCGACTCCCTGGCTTTCATGAACAAAAAGGTGAAATGGTTTTGAGATATTTGGGAGGGCAAGAGCAGGTGCCTCAGTTAATGCCTTCTTTAGATTTTGAAAAGCCTGTTCTTGTCAGTCCAAACTAGCAGGCCATTCCTTCCAGTAGCAGTGTACATGGGCTTGGCAATTTCTGAGGACCCTGATATCTATAGGCAGCATTATCCTACTGCCCCCAGGAATTCATGTACTTGTCTCAGTGGTGGAGTAAGGATTTGCAAGATGGCTTTGTTTTGAGCACTAGTGAGTGCTTTTTTCCCCTCGTTTATCTCATACCTCAGGTAGAAACACTGGGAAGACAAAGCTTGGCTGAGACCCGACACCCGAATTCCTGAAGGAGGTAAAGTAGGTCCCTAGTATGTTGCAGGTGGCTGTCAGTAGTTTCTGTAGCCAATAACAGGTTATCTACCTACTGGAGAAGCATGCAATTAGGGTGACTGGCTCGGACGGTATAGGATCCTGTTGGAGGGCTTCCCCAAAAAGCATGGGGGAGTTTTTTAAACCCTGGGGTAACTGAGTCCAGGTTAATTGGGTGGTGTCTCCTGAGCCAGGATCTGGCCATTCAAAAACAAAGACAGTTTGGCTTTTGGGGGCCAGAGGAATACCAAAGAAAGCATCCTTTAAGTCAAGGACAGTGTACACTGTATGTTCTGGTGGGAGCAGGCTGAGTAAATTGTAAGAGTTAGGGACAGTTGGATGGATGGTGACTGTCTGCTTGTTAACTTCCCGCAAATCCTGTACAGGCCAGTAATCATTTGTTCTGGGTTTCAGGACCAGCAAAAGTGGAGTATTCCAGGCGGACTGACATGGTGTGAGTATACCAGCTTGTAATAGTCACTGAATGTGGGGATTGGTTCCCTCTCTAGCCCACTGAATCATAGGATTTTTTTTACCTGGACCGGCAAGGTGGTGGCCAGGAGTTCTACTACCACTGGCGGACGGTGCTTAGCCAGTCCCGGGGGGGGGGTTGACTTGACCTAGACTCAAGGAAGGAGAGTCTGTAAATCCAGTAGGAGAGGATTAGTTTTATTCTCCGGTGGCTGTGAGGGTGAAACTAAGATACTCCTCTGACAGAGGGGTGGTTAGCAGGAGCTGAGCAGTAGGGGACATTGTGTCACCTAACGTGAGGTGAGCTTGTTGGGCCGAGAAGGAGATGGAGCCTGTAACTTATGGAGCATATCTCATCCGAGGAGGGGGGGTAAGGGGCATTCTGGGACCATGAGGAATGAGTGGGTTACTCTTTTCTGTCCCAAACTCACCTCTCATGAGTGGGTGACAGGATATTCCTCAATAGCTCCAGTAGCCCCTTGCACAGCCACCTTTTTATTAGAGGCACTGCCCAAGGGTGTTTGCAGTACTGAGTGTTCTGCCCCAGTGTCAGTTAGGAAATGTACAGGCTGGTCCTGCACTGTGGCAGTCACCATGGGCTCCCAGGGGCCAAAGGAGAGGGAGCCCCGGCCCCATCAGTTATCAGGTTCCTCCACTGCGGGGAGGGTGAGGACCTTTTTCTTTTCTGGTTTCTCCTCTGGCTTTAATGGGCATTCAGTTTCCCAATGTCCCATTTGCTTGCAAAAAGCACATTGTTTTCTTCGTAGGGGAGCCCGCTCACCTTTTTGGCCTTTCTGGCAGAGACCTGGGGTCCCCTGGTTGGTGCTCTGTGATGGGGGCCCTTCCTTCTTGGCTCCTTGGATGACAGCCCCTAAGATCTTTGCCTGTCTTTTTGATGCTTTCTCAGCAGCCCTTTCAGCTGCCTGAGCTGCCTGTTTTTGCTTTTCAAACTCTCGATTGTCAAAAACTTTCTGGGCTATCTCTAAAATTTGGCTGATGTTCATTCCAGCAAATCCTTCCAGACTTTGTAATTTTCTTTTAGTATCAGGGGCTGCCTGAGCCACAAATGCCAAATCAACAGCACAGCTATTCTCGGGAGCCGCCAGGTCGAAAGGGGCATAAGTCCAATAGGCCTCTTGGAGGCATTCTAAAAATGCTCCAGGTGACTCATCAGGCCCCTGGACAACTTCAGTCGTCTTAGACAAATTTATGGGTTTTTGAGCGGCTCCCTTGATACCCACAAGGAGATATGTGAAAATAATCTAAAGCTCTCTTCCCACCCAAGGAGTTTGGATTCCAATCAGGCCGGGTAGGGGGAAAAACCTCCTCAAGGAGGTCTTGGGCTTCCTCCTCTGGTCTACTGGCTGATGCAAGGAAATACTTTCTGGCTTCTCTTCATCAGGGGAACCAGCCCCCGATATTTCAACGTAGGTTCTTTTCTATTTTCCCTAAGTGTCGGCTGGTCTGAGAAATAAAGGGAAAGAGTACAAAAGAGAAATTTTAAAGCTGGGTGTCCAGGGGAGACATCACATGTTGGCAGGTTCTGTGATGCCTCCCCAAGCCACAAAACCAGCAAGTTTTTATTATGGATTTCAAAGGGAAGGGAGTGTATGAATAGGGTGTGGGTCACAGAGATCACATGCTTCACAAGGCAATAAAATATCACAAGGCAAATGGGGGCAGAGCGAGATCACAGGACCATGGTGAAATTAAAATTGCCGATGGTTTCATGTCCCACTGGGCACGACTGTCATTGATAACATCTTACCAGGAGACAGGGTTTGAGAGCAGACAACTGGCCTGACTAAAATTTACGAGGCAGGAATGTCCTCATCCTAACAGGCCCGGGGGCGCTACAGGAGACTGGGGCTTATTTCATCCCTTATCTACAACCGTAAAAGACAGACACTCCTAGAGTGGCCATTGTAGAGACCTCCTCCTAGGAATGCATTCTCTTTCTCAGGGCTGTGCCTCGCTAAGAAAAAGAATTCAGTGATATTTCTCCCATTCGCTTTTGTAAGAAGAGAAATATGGCTCTGTTCTGCCTGGCTCTCAGGCAGTCAGACCTAATGGTTATCTCCCTTGTTCCCTGAACATCGCTGTTATCCTGTTCTTTTTTCAAGATGCCCAGATTTCATATTGTTTAAACATGCTTTACAATTTGTGCAGTTAACACAATCATCACAGGGTCCTGAGGTGACATACATCCTCAGCTTACGAAGATGACGGGATTAAGAGATTAAAGACAGGCATAGGAAATCACAAGCGTATTGACTGGGGCAGTGATAAATGTCCATGAAATTTTCACAATTTATGTTCAGAGATTGCAGTAAAGACAGGTGTAAGAAATTATAAAAGTATTAATTTGGGGAACTAATAAATGTCCACGAAATCTTCACAATTTATGTTCTTCTGCCGCAGCTTCAGCCGGTCCCTCCTTTTGGGGTCCCTGACTTCCTGCAACAGAAGGCAAAGAGCCTGAGGAGAGGAAGAGCCTGCGGCATTCCACTCCTTCCAGTTTCTGGCTAGAGCAAAGGGCAGAGTGTTGGTAAGTGGTGAGAGACAAGGCTGAGTAACTTGACAAGAATCACATTGACATGGGTGTTTTTATTCCATGGTGAAAAATTTGGAACTTTTCCTGAGAACAAATGTAAGCCAATGAGACAGTAAATGACAGGAGATTTAAAAATGTCACCTGTCAAGTGACTGCTTATAAATGGTTATTACTTGGCTAAGGATTTCTAAATGAGCCTGAGATCTGTTGGCCTGCAATCTCTACCAAAACTCTGAGAACTTGATGATGCCTTTGTTTTCTGAAAATTGCTTCAACTGTGCTGGCTGACAGTTCCATGAAGATGGTAAAAGTGAAGAAAGTGTAGAGCTAGTAAAAAAGAGATGCATAGACTTCTTGGAAGTTTTTTAAGCTATGGAACATAATGAATTAATGGTGCATAAGCTTACTCTTCACTGTGAAAGTTTTTTTCACATCTTTCATTAGATGTTTGTAAGAAAAAACATACTTAATGTAGCATCTACTAACCCAGCAATAAAAAGGAATGGCATTTACTGTACACTTTATTTCTAAAATAAACCTAAATTTAATAAATTTTGGCAACATGCTTTTCTTTGTTTCTCTAATTATTTGTTCTATGCAGTCTGGCTCCATCTAAAATAAGTAAAAATAATAATAATGTTTAAGTTAAATGAGAGACAATATCATGAGAATAATGTCACTTATAAAATATGGCCATTAGTATTTTTAGTGATTAGCCATAACTTGAAGTTTGCTTAAATAGAAAAATAATTACATAAATAAAGTAAAATTTCTACTTATTTTAAGTTTAGATAATAGAGGATATACCTGTGTAATGCTGTTTAGATTAATCTGACAAAAATACAGTTAATATTGATCTATTGCATATACATAATTTTAGAAAGGTGGTGTTTTATTTATTTTTTATTTATTTATTTATTTTTTTTTGAGACAGAGTCTCGCTCTGTTGCCCAGGCTGGATGGAGTGCAGTGGCCGGATCTCAGCTCACTGCAAGCTCCGCCTCCCGGGTTTACGCCATTCTCCTGCCTCAGCCTCCCGAGTAGCTGGGACTACACTCACCCGCCACCTCGCCCGGCTAGTTTTTTGTATTTTTTAGTAGAGACAGGGTTTCACCGTGTTAGCCAGGGTGGTCTCGATCTCCTGACCTCGTGATCTGCCCGTCTCGGCCTCAAAAGGTGGTGTTTTATTAGTACAAACGTTAAACAATGGCTGGGTGTGGTGACTCATGCCTGTAATCCCAGCACTTTGGGAGGTCAAAGTGGGCAGATCACAAGGTCAAGAGATTGAGACCATCCTGGCCAACATGGTGAAACTCCAGTTCTACTAAAAATACAAAAATTAGCTGGTCGGGAGGCTGAGGCAGGAGAATCACTTGAACCTGGGAGGTGGAGGTTGCAGTGAGCCAAGATCGCACCACTGCACTCCAGCCTGATAGAGTGAAACTCCATCTCAAAAAAAAAAAAAAAAAAAAAAAAGAAAAAAAGGTTAAACAAAGTCATATTTTGCAATTTTGCAATGAATGCATTGCTTTGAAATTCTTAGCAAAACTCTACTCTTTATAAAAGTTCAGTCCTGAGGGGGCACCTAAGATGGCCGAATAGGAACAGCTCCAGCCTCAAACTCCCAGTGTGAGCAACACAGAAGACGGGTGATTTCTGCATTTTCAACTGAGGTACCAGGTTCAACTCACTGGGGCGTGTCGGACAGTCGATGCTGGTCCATGGGTGCAGCCCGACCAGCGAGAGCTGAAGCAGGGCGAGGCATCGCCTCACCTGGGAAGTGCAAGGGGGAAGGGAATTCCTTTTCCTAACCAAGGGAAATTGAGACACACAACACCTGGAAAATCCCACCCTAATACTGCAGTTTACCAAGGGTGTTAGCAAATGGCACACCAGGAGATTATATCCCACACCTGGCCCAGAGGGTTCCACGCCCACAGAGCCTCCCTCATTGCTACCACAGCAGTCTGAGATCCAACTGCAAGGCGGCAGTGAGGCTGGGGGAGGTGTGCCTGCCATTGCTGAGGCTTAAGTAGGTAAACAAAGCCTCCAGGAAGCTCGAATTGGGTGGAGCCCACCGCAGCTCAAGGAGGCCTGCCTGCCTCTGTAGACTCCACCTCTGGGGACAGGGCATAGCTAAACAAAAAGCAGCAGAAACCTCTGCAGATGTAAAAGTCCCTGTCTGACAGCTTTGAAGAGAGCAGTGGTTCTCCCAGCACAGAGGTTGAGATCTGAGAATGGACAGACTGCCTGCTCAAGTGGGTCCCTGACCCCTGAGTAGCCTAACTAGGAGACATCCTCCACTAGGTGCAGACCAACACCTCACCTCGCAAGACTGGGTACACCCCGAGACGAAGCTTCCAGAGCAAGAATCAGACAGCAACATTCACTGTTCAGCAATATTCTATCTTCTGCAGCCTCCGCTGCTGATACCCGGGCAAATAGCATCTGGAGTGGACCTCAAGCAAACTCCAACAGACCTGCAGCTGAGGGTCCTGACTGTTAGAAGGAAAACTAGCAAACAGAAAGGACACTCACACCAAAACCCCATCAGTACATGACCATCATCAAAGACCAAAGGCAGATAAAACCACAAAGATGGGGGAAAAGCAGTGCAGAAAAGCTGGAAATTCAGAAAATCAGAGTGCATCTCCTCCTCCAAAGGAATACAGCTCATCGCCAGCAATGGAACAAAGCTGGATGGAGAATGACTTTGACAAGTTGAGAGAAGAAGGCTTCAGTCAATCAAACTTCTCAGAGCTAAAGGAGGAACTACGTAACCAGCACAAAGAAACTAAAAACTTTGATCCTTTCCTTACTCCTTATACGAAAATTAATTCAAGATGGATTAGAGACTTAAATGTTAGACCTAATACCATAAAAACCCTAGAGGAAAACCTAGGTAGTACCATTCAGGACATAGGCATGGGCAAAGACTTCATGTCTAAAACACCAAAAGCAACGGCAGCAAAAGCCAAAACTGACAAACGGGATCTCATTAAACTAAAGAGCTTCTGCACAGCAAAAGAAACTACCATCAGAGTGAACAGGCAACCTACAGAATGGGAGAAAATTTTTTGCAATTGACTCATCTGACAAAGGGCTAATATCCAGAACCTACAAAGAACTCAAATTTACAAAAAAAAAACAACCCCATCAAAAAGTGAGCAAAGGATATGAACAGACATTTCTCAAAAGAAGACATTCATACAGCCAACAGACACATGAAAAAATGCTCATCATCACTGGCCATCAGAGAAATGCAAATCAAAACCACAATGAGATACCATCTCACACCAGTTAGAATGGCGATCATTCAAAAGTCAGGAAACAACAGGTGCTGGAGAGGATGTGGAGAAATAGGAACACTTTTACACTGTTGGTGGGATTGTAAACTAGTTCAACCATAATGGAAAACAGTATGGCGATTCCTCAAGGATCTAGAACTAGATGTACCATATGACCCAGCCATCTCATTACTGGGTATATACCCAAAGGATTATAAATCATGCTGCTATAAAGACACATGCACATGTATGTTTATTGCGGCACTATTCACAATAGCAAAGACTTGGAATCAACCCAAATGTCCATCAGTGACAGACTGGATTAAGAAAATGTGGCACATATACACCATGGAATACCATGCAGCCATAAAAAAGGATGAGTTTGTGTCCTTTGTAGGGACATGGATGCAGCTGGAAACCATCATTCTTAGCAAACTATCACAAAAACAGAAAACCAAACACTGCATGTTCTCACTCATAGGTGGGAACTGAACAATGAGATCACTTGGACTCGGGAAGGGGAACATCACACACCGGGACCTATCATGGAGAGGGGGGAAGGGGGAGGGATTACATTGGGAGTTATACCTGATGTAAATGACGAGTTGATGGGTGCTGACAAGTTGATGGGTGCAGCACACCAACATGGCACAAGTATACATATGTAACAAACCTGCACGTTATGCACATGTACCCTAGAACTTAAAGTATAATAATAATAAATAAAATAAAATAAAACATTTCCCCTTAAAAAAAAAAAGTAAAAACTTTCAAAAAAGAATGGATGAGTGGATAACTAGAATAATCAATGCAGAGAAGACCTTAAAAGAACTGATAGAGATGAAAACCATAACACGAGAACTACGTGACAAATGCACAAGCTTCAGTAACTGACTCGATCAACTGGAAGAAAGTTTCAGTGATTTAAGATCAAATGAATGAAATGAAGCAAGAAGTGTAGAGAAAAAAGAGTAAAAAGAAATGAACAAAGCCTCCAAGAAATACGGGATTATGTGAAAAGACCAAATCTACGTCTGATTGGTGCGCCTGAAAGTGACAGGGAAAATGGAACCAAGTTGGAAAACACTGCAGGATATCATCCAGGAGAACTTCCCCAACCTAGTAAGGCAGGCCAACGTTCAAATTCAGGAAATACAAAGAATGCCACAAAGATACTCCTCGAGAAGAGCAACTCCAAGACACATAATTGTCAGATTCACCAAAGTTGAAATGAAGGAAAAAATGTTAAGGGCAGCCAGAGAGAGAGGTTGGGTTACCCACAAAGGGAAGCCCATCAGACTAATAGCAGATCTCTCGGCAGAAACTCTACAAGCCAGAAGAGAGTGGGGGCCAATATTCAACATTCTTAAAATAATTTTCAACCCAGAATTTCATATCCAGCCAAACTAAGTTTCATCAGTGAAGTAGAAATAAAATCCTTTACAGATAAGCAAATGCTTAGAGATTTTGTCACCACCAGGCCTGCCCTACAAGAGACCCTGAAGGAAGTACTAAACATGGAAAGGAACAACTGGTACCAGCCATTGCAAAAACATGCCAAAATGTAAAGACCATCGATGCTAGGAAGAAACTGCATCAATTAACGAGCAAAATAACCAGCTAATATCACAGTGACAGGATCAAGTTCACACATAACAATATTAATCTTAAATGTAAAT